CTCCCCGGGGGCGGGGGGTGCCGGCGCTCCGTGTGCCCGGTGCGGCTCCCCTCGTCCCGCAGCGGGGAGCGGCGCGCGGCGGCGCGCGCAGGAGCTGCGCGGAAGACCCGCTTCCCGCCGCGCAGCGTTAGCTTCATCAGATGGCAGTGCCGGAGTGCGACCTGCCTGCCCTTCCCAGCCCCAAAGGGAGGGAGGAGGGAATGTGTTCGGGAACCGTCGGGCTTTTAATAGTACTGAGTGTGTTCAAGTGTTCGCCTGCTCTGAGCTCGCAGCTCCGCGGGAGCCCGAGCTGCCTGTTGGTTAGGGAGGTGCGCGGCGTACGCAGCGCGCTGGTTCTTGGGTGCACGTACGTTAATGGGCCCTGGTGATCAATCTGAAAACGTTAATTCCAGTGTTTATAGTGTCCAGTACTGATGGCACCCGCAAATCCCCTGGGAATCGTCTTTCAGAGAATGCTGGAATTAATCTAATACTGTACTCCTTAAAATGTGCTTGTTCAGTGCTTCCTAACGCTTCTAAAACCAGTGCAGTGCTGAGTTATAAGTGGATGTAAACAAACCTCGCAGCTCTTGTGTCTGTAGTACTGTGTAGGTGAGGTGTTGCAGTCTGCTGCTTTTGGGTGTTTTTTTTCTTGTTTCCTGCTTTTGAACGTGGAATGATGCTGTTCTGCTGGCCTGTGTCCCTATTTTCTAAGTGCCTGGTCAAAAAAAAAAATCTGCTTGTACCCATTAAAAAATGCAGATATCACACAACTAGCCTAGTAAAGCTAGTTTAGACCCTGTAAGGCCCTCAAAGGGAAGAGGAAGCTTTTCCCAATGCTGTTCTTTAAGGTGCATTTCTATAAAACTGTGTACATGGAAAGCAAGATAAATAGTATTCTAGCTGTCAGATGTTTACACTGAAATTCAGTATGCGAACTCAGAAAATGATTTCTTATCCTTTTAGCTTACTTTTATTGGAGGAAAAAGTAGAGCAATAAGTCTCTATCTAGAGTGTGGTTTTCTCTGAGTTTGGATAGTGGCCAGCAGTATTTGACCTTTTTGTAGCTGATATTGCACAAAATTGGCTTTTTACTGCATGTCTGAAGTAATCAGTCAAACAGAATCAGAAACACATTTGAGCTTAGATTTAGGAGCAATATCTTAAAAAATAAATAAATAAATCTGAGCCCAAGCAAAGGTGCTGTTTCTTAATCTCCTTAGTCACCTGTATTTTGGGGTTGCTGTTAAGAGCCTTTTCCTCAGTCCTGTGTTACCACACAACACAGGAAATGTTGGCTGCCTGTTTTGCTGCAGCTGGTCTCTCCTGGAGCAGCTACTTGCGCTGCCCCATCTCCTCCCGAGCTCGTGGCGAAGGGTCAGGCTGGTGGCATCGAGGGCGGCAGCTTTGGAGCAGCTCGGCTCCTGGCACTGGGCTTGCTCTCGAGCTCAGGGTTCCTGGACTTGGTGTCAGGCTGGTCACGTGTGAGGCGTCAGGTTGTCAGGCTTGCAGGGAAACAGCCTTCTCCTGTTGTTGGACACCTTTAATAGAGCAGCATAGGAGAAGGTGTCTGCGTCTCTGGGAGAGCTCGGTAGAGGATACAGATGTCGTGATCCAGTCAGAGTAGGCACAGATCTGGGCAAGTCTTTCTTGTGATTTGCTCCCCGTTCCTGCTAGCTGGAGGAGGACTGTTGGCTCGTTCATGTATCTACTTGTCCAGAATACTAGAAAATCGCACTTGAGCAGTGTGACAGGCCGCTGGCTCTGCTTGCTGCAGGAGTTTCAGGTAGTGAGCATCTTGGTGATGGGCTGAACTGATGTGAGTTGTCCTGCTGTTAGACAATGTCTCTCTCTATTCCACCTGCCCCGTTCCTTGAGACACAATTTTGCAAAAGAGTTTTGCATTGGTCCTTCAATAAGCTACTCATGTGAGGAACCAAGGCTTTCCCTAAATGGTGAAAAGGAAATACAAATTTCATCCTCGGTACAACTACAGAAAAAAAAAAATTAACGTGTTTTTTTTCTGTTTCTAACCAAGGTGCAAGTGTCCATCTAGAATGTCCAGACGTCCACAACAGCTTAGAGACCATGATATAAACCCATGTGTAGCGGTAAGATCAAATTTTAGCTTATTCATTTTTAGGCCAAGTACTAAGATAATTCGTCTAGAAAATGCAGTGTGGATAACACTCTTGCATGAGTATCTTGAATAAAAAATTTATTAAGGAACTTGAAGTGGAGGGAACAAGCTGAAAATCACTTTGTAGTAAATATGAAGGATTGCAGATTTCCATTTCACAAATAGCAGTAATACAACTAGTAGGAATCTCCTCAAATTTATGCCCTTAAAATTAGTCAAAAATCCTGGTTAGACAAGTTTACTTAATCTTAAAATAGTCTTTTGTAGGTTATACCAAGAATTTTTGCAAGAAAACATCCTGAGGTTTCCTATTGTAAAGTTTGTCTCCAAATTAAGTCATTTGTTAGGATTACCGACCCTGCTTTGTGATGGATATCAGCCTGCCTCATTCTTTCATATGATTCTTTCAACTTCATAGACATTCAGTGGTGCTTTAGAGTTTGCAAATTTCTGGTACAGTAACTTCTCTCAGTGCTGAAGTGTGTTTTCCCTGTTAAAGGAAACAGATGCCTCTAGAAAATGTATGGATGAAAACAACTATGACAAGAGTATGTGTACTGATTATTTTTTGAAGTACAAAAACTGCAGAAAATTCTGGGTAAGCAGGTTTAATCACAGTAGATCTGAAATTTTACTCCATATTTTGTGATGCACTGCTTTCTGAACTCTTTAGATGTAATTGGTGCTGACCCCTGTTTTTACAGTGATCTACAGACCTAGGTGTAGTTCCCGGGTAGCCTCAGTATGTGCTACCGGAAGACTTAAGCAGATGTACATCAAACTGTTCTACTTGGCCCTCCTAAGTTTGCCCTCTTAGATTTGTAAGTGGATGTTTTTACAATGCCTCATATGTTTCCCTCTGACTCTGTCAGATATTTCTGTAACAAGTTTTGTTTTAAATGGATATAAAGAAAGCTGAGATGATGTCTATCTATCTTTTTTTTTTTTTTTTCTTTCCTAGCTTTTTTTCTGGGTAAACAAGTTTTATGAGGGGCTGTCTGCAGTTGAGCTGCTCTCTGTTTTCTTTGCATATGCCTTGCAAGTAAAGAGTTCTTCAGCTGATGCTTTTAAATAGTTGCACAAACAATGAAAACTCTTGTCAGACAACTGTCTGTTAGTCTGACATGGTGTCATGGGAATACTGTGATTGAGAGTATTTGATTTCCCTGAAGCAGTAAGGTGAACTCTCTGGTAGCTTAGACTAGTGCATCTTGTTGTCAGCTTAAACTAAGCACTAGTGTGTCTAGTTATTAGCTGATCCGATGTAGAGTATCTGGATTTTAATACAGAAAAGTATTTTTGTATTGAACCTTATTCAGTAGAGGCAAAGACTTTAGAAATCTGTCTTCTCATTCTCACTTTCTTCTATTTTCAGCATGATATTAAGATGGAAAGGAGAAGAAATGGTGTGAAGCCAGACATGCCCTCAGCAGAAGAGAGAAAGAAAATACTGGATTCAATAGAGAAGCCCTACTGACCGAAGAAGATCCTGGCACTGTTTTATGCTCTGCACTGTACATACCAAGACTTGTCAGCAGCAAGCTGCTAACTGGGAACTTTACTGTTGCCATATCTCAAATTAAAATAAGCTCTTGAACTTTGAAATGGGATTTTTGGTTCTGTTCATATTCACCTTATGAAAACTTTCTTTCACTGGAAACTGGGTTCTGATATAGATTATGTCTAAACACTTTGCAAGCAGAAACTTGTTATGAAGCATTATCAAATTAGTGTTCCCTCAGAAAAAGATTCATCAAAGAGGTGATGGTGGGAGTTGCAACACGGATGCAACTAAGGATGAAGCAGACTTAGACACTTTGCAGCATAGTTATTGCATCTAGCTATTCTGACAATTGTTTTGCATTTCGCATGTGGTTGCATCAGTGATTTCATGCAAACTGTTCCATGTTTCTGGTTTAACTAAGACTGTTCATGAACTGAATCCCACAATTCTGCAACTGTCCTTAGGAGGTCTTGTCATTGCCGTGGTCCCTGGAAACATGCGCTTGCTGCAAAGCTCACTGAGGTGATTTACTTGTTGCAAGGTTAGGGAGGTTAAGAAAGATAAACTGAACTCGGCTCTGAACTGAGTAGTAATAGAGCCTTCTCTGGATAGTAAATGGATACTTCACTTGGGGGAAGCTAGTAGACATGTAAACATATACTCTGAGTGACATTGCAGGTTTAACTATAGTACATCTATGTAAGACTTTCTGGACAGCTGATGGCCTGGGTTTGGAAACCTTTGCTCATAGGGGACTCATACAATTTGAACAGGATCTCTTAATCTTTAGCAAGATTTATTCTTTAACTAAAGTGGACTGTTATTAGGAGTAATAGGTTCCTGTCTAATGAAACAGTACCTTCCTACCTTGATTGCCTTTCTAGTGTCTTGACTTAAAATTACACCTTGTGATAAAACAGGAAAAAAACACACTGTTGGGGGTAGGGCTCAGGTTCCCTGTGAAATCCTTTAAGACTTATGGCAGTGAAGCTGGCAGAAGTCTGGCTGACCTTATGGAGGATGATGTAAAAGTGTTGTATCTATTTAGAGTGTTTTGGAAAGGCTTCATGGCTTCCCATTTCTCCTCCTGGCTAGTGTCTCATCTCTTTTCATTATAGGCCTATTTCTGTGCTTAGATGGATTTTTGTCTCCAAGTTCCCCCTCATTGTTTGTCCTGATCTGTAGCTAATGGAGATAACTTCTCTTTATTACTGTTTTTGTAATGTTGTCTTTTTTGTTGTTGTTGTTGCTCTTATGTAAGTTTCAGTAGTGGATTGATCATATCTTTTCTCTCTTCTTGGAAAGAACAAGTAATGGTGCTTTTTGGACATACAGCTCCTGGTGCATAACTGTCCAACCTCCAAACCATGTAGCAAACTGGGATTAGTGGGTTTTGGTGGGGGAAATAGTCTTCTAGTGTTACCAAATTCTTAATTTCTTTTGAACAATGTTTCTCTGGACTTGTGCTTATACTCTGCTGTCACTGTTTGTGCCTTGTCTGTGGTATGGACGAGAAACTTTGTAATAACTTCAAAAGTTCTAATTTGCCCATCCCCTCCAGAGTCTTTCAGTGTTCTCCTACTTGCTAATCTTTGTCTTGTCTGCGTGGCCCAAATTGGGTTTTTCATTGGTTCTGGCTCTTTGGTTTGTAGCCTTATTTCACCCTTTTTTCCCTGACAGCTTTGTTCTTTCTCTGTGCTCATGTTAGTCCTACAACAATTTTTCTAATAAAAGTCCTTTTTTGAAGACCATGCATTTTGTATGCTCCTTACCCTCTTGATGAGAACAGGTGTGTTTTTTTTTTTTTTTTTTTTCCTTTCATAGTCCCACTTGGTCCTTAATGGCCAATATTTCTTTGAACTGTTAATTCAGTCTTCAGGGAGCTGACTGCTCCCTTTTCATTAGGGTTTTATCTCTGAAGTCTTCTGGCCTTACTGCTCTTTTAATGGCACATTTCTCAAGGTGAAATCC